GGAGGGTTGTATTTAAAATTAATTTTTTTTTCTATTATCAGTGCAATAACTTCGGGTCATGTTTATCTAAGATTTATAATCATTTATATTTTTGTAGTCAAAATCGGTCGGTCAACCGGTCGGTCAGAAGCCTTTGACCGACCGATATCGGTCACGGTTATGACCGGTTATGACCGGTCATGACCATAACCATTAGCATCCCTAATATTAAATTGTGAAAAAAAGAAAAATTTAACTAACGAAAATGAAATTTATAAAGATCTCAAAAAAAATTTTTGTCCAATCATTGTCCGTGTAACGTTTGATGCTTATGAATTTCCTTAAATAACAACGAATTTCCTTTTGTTAAACATTCATTTTTCTCCGACAATTTTTTTTTTTTTAAAAAAATGCCTTGCCTCCCTGCCGATTGTTTAATTGAAATTTTTGAAAATTTAAATGATGAGGAATTACGTTCATGCTTATTAGTGAACCATCAATGGTGTGAAACATCTGTTCGAATTTTATGGAGAAAAATACAAAGTTTAAATACCTTAATCACTTGTCTTCCTAATGAATCAAAAGTCATTTTAGAGAATAATGGAATCATAATTTCAAACTCAACTTCAAGACCCCTATTTTTCAATTATGTAACATTTATCAAAACACTTTCGGATCTCGATATCAGTAATACAGTTGAAAGATTGCTTAAATATACACGTAATGTTAACGGAAATAATAGGAACGTGGCAACACGAGAAGTATTTCAAATGTTTATGAAACAAACTTCCTTGAAAGAGCTATCTATTAGTTCTAGTATAATTCACGAACAAAGTTTACCATTTACCTATAGCTTAAATTTGAGTAACCTTTCTGACTTTTATTGTAGTTCAGATCTCTATCCTGAATTGTTTCATCAGCTATCTCTAATTTGCAATAATCTACAATCACTGTTGATATTTTTTTAATAGTAGCATTTCAAATGGATTAGCAGATTTAATTTCAGTTCAAAGACGTTTAAAGTACCTGCACTTGGATTATTCGGAAATTTGTAACTACAATTGGACAAATATTATTCAATTGTTCATAAAATGTACTAATACATTAACAAAGGTACATATCGTTGGGGAATGTGAACATTGTCCTTTACCATTGTCATTCATTTCGAAGTTTTACAATTTACAAGAACTTTCATTATCAATATACAAAAGTAAAGGTTTGGAAGTTTTTCAACATGCTTCCCTTTCCCAATTGCAAGTTTTGAGATTTGTATGTGAACAACCAGTTAATGACCACCTAATCAGTTTCTTGGAAAACAACGGAAAGAATTTAACTGAACTTGGTCTTTGCGATTATAATGATTATGATGGTCCATTAAATTTAGCAATTGCCAAATTTTGTCCAAATATTAAGTGCTTGCGCACTACTTTTTATGAAAAAAACGGTGAAAACATAGAATCATTAAAATTAGTTTTATTTAGTTGTGAACAATTAGAAAGCATTGAGATTTTGTGCGAAGACTTTTTAGAGAAGAGGGCATTATTAAAGATCTTTGTGGAATTTTCACCTAAAATTTTATGTGAAATAAAAATGGTTTTAGAGGGTTATCAAGATCCTGATCCATATATAAAGTATACCTTTATATGCTGGGGTAATCGCGAGCAAAGTATTCCTCTCTCTTTAATCATTTTATCGCATTCCGAAAGGGAAGATGAAACGCGAGTTATGCATATAGAAATAATTAAAAAACTTGAAGAGTTTAAAAACTTGAGTATCATAAAAGAATTCAAAATTATTGAAGAACGTGGTGGCCGGAGTATGTAGTGCAAAATTGAGTATAGGGAAAACCGGTACAGTACGGTTCGGCTGATCAGTACAGTACGATTTTGCAGTTCAGTACTAATTTTCAAATTATAATCGTACCGTACTGATTCTATAATATTATTGGGACCAGTACAGTACGATCATATTTTGTACCGTACGGATCAGACGATTCGTACTGATTTTCCTCCCTCGATTTATTTAATTTTTATTAAAGGAATTTTTTTTTTTTTTTTTTTGAGAAAAAACTTTTTTTTTTATTAAGAACGCTTTGACAAATGCAACTTCAATCATTATTAATCATTAACATAGGTATACATAGAAAATCGGGTATATAGAAAACTGGTACGGTCGATTAATAGAAAGTATCGTACCATACCGTACTGGTCCTATATATAAATGCTTTCTATTATAGGACCAGTACGGTACAGTACGCTACTTTTCCAAATTTTGATGGTACTGTACTGGTCTCAATAAATTTATAGAACTAGTACGGTACGATCAAAATTTGGAGGATCGTACTGATCTGCATGATCATACTGTACTGATCAGCCGAACTGTACCGTACCGATTTTCCTCCTCCCTTGCAAAATTATGTTGTAATTACTATATCTATAATGAAAGCATTTAATTATGATGATGTAAATACTCCGATTATTATTCAAAGAATTATTCAACAGTTGTAATTGCAAATTACTTTTTTTTTTAGGGAAGTGACTAAATGTTGTTCTAATAACAAAACAATACATACATATTTTAATATATCTTTACTAGATAAATTGGTTATTGGGAACCTTTGAAATAGAAAAGGAAACTACTGGGAATAAATGAAATAATCCTAAATCTGAACATATCGTTAACATAAAATTATCTCAATTACGTAGCTGCGTAACACATAAATTCCAGAAGAATTGATTCTTTGTGATTTGACATAAAGGCGTGAATAATAAGTTCAAATAACAAACTTGACTTTATACCTTCAAAAAAAAGACATGAAAAATAAGAGAAAAAACATTTTAAACATTTTTTTCATGATGAAAATCATTATATATATTTTATTTTTTTTGTTGGTTTTCTTTTTTTAACTTTCATACGTTTCGGTCGAACATGTTTTCTTTTTTTCTTGAGTCGGATCACTTCTACAAGTATTAGGTATTTATTTTTTTTTATTATTTGATTGGTAGGTTTTTTTTCATTCTTTGAAAATTTCAGGCTGCAGCGATAAATGATTTGATTTCAGTATGTGATTGATTGCTTTATTTTTCTTCCTTTCCTTTTTTCGTTGATTATTTTAATTCATTCATTTTTTTTTTTTTAGGTTCTTTATTTGATTCGTGACGGAGAATCAATTTGATTTGCTGCGGTATGTTATGGTTTTTCTTTAACTGGTTCATTAATTGTTATTATTGATTATTAATTTTTCTTGGAGATATCTTTCATTTTAATTATAATTATTTATTTTTTCATTTTTTTTTTTTCTATACACCTTATTATTCTTTGATGATTTCGTCATTCATATAATGGTAATAATTACAAAATTACTGTAAGGTGGAATTTACTTCTAAATTCTGTTGTGAAACTAAATTTGTATTTCGAATGACCAATTTAAGAAAAGCAGTTAATTTTTTTGATAGGACAAAATACGGAAAGTTATCCAAATAGTTAATTTTTGGAAAAAATTAATTGTTGGGAAAAGAAAGTTTCTATTAGTAATTATCTATGCAAGAAAAAAAATGTAATCCCTATAAAAACAAAAACATTAAAAACCATTCAAATTAAAAAATGGTTTTAAAAAACAAGAAGAATCCCAAAAAACTTGGAAACGAGAATTAAGGAGTTAGAGCAAAATAACGAGAATTTACGTTCATAATACAGTTATTTAGAGACAAGGTTAAAGAACGAGAAAAAAGAAACCAAAATGAAACATGAGAAGAAACCAAAGCCAAGCAAAATTATTAATAATTATGAAGAAAAATTTAGAAAACGTGGAAATGTATCTGTTGTAGCCCAAACATCACCATGTTCCAAGTTAAACTTGGGATATCCCAAATCGGAATTACTATTTCGGACTTCTCAAACTGCAATTTCTAATTTGGGATGATCATGTCCCAAACTTGATCATGTTTCAAATTCAAC